GGGAGAAACTAATTAATGAGAGGCGCGCGATACCTGTGGGTAAAGCCACATGACTGGCGCGCACTCACTAGGAAGCCAGTTGAGTTCAACGGTGGTAAATTGTACAGGTCGGCAATACTAAGCAAAGACAAAACAATGGTAAAGAGACTCTGGCTTTTGTGCTTTTATAAAGGCCTAATACTGGGCATGCATAATGCTTGATGGGATTAGCGATAGCACAGGGTTAGCAAGCAATGTTTGTACCAAACAATCAGTCCATTTGTGACCGACCGGCACGATTCGGTCTTATGTAGTAAAATTTGAAATTGTGTTTTTTTACATTGGATAAAAGTAGAGACTCAGAGATAGAAAAGTGTATATCATACACTACAGTTGAGGAACAATGGGAAAGTAATTCTGGTTTGAAAGTTGATAAACTTCTAAATAGCCTTTGAATGTTTTGGTACACCCACTGGAGAGCTCTTCTTTGTCTACACCCATTCAGCATAGTTCACACCCTCTTAAGCTATAGCCCGGCCTGTAAACTCAGAGCGTTGTCAGATTGTCCGTTCGTAAATTCAGAGTGTTTTGCTCTCGGAGAGTTCAGAGTGCACACTGGACGCTCTGGCCAAGGAGTAGGGTTGATCCGAGCGCTCTGTCCTAACAACAGCAGTCACGCACCCAAGCTAACTGGCTAACGTTGGCTAGCTTGCTAGCTACTTCCAGACACAAATGAGAGAACAACTCACTCTGACCATTTTATTCACCCTAGCAGAGCTGGTTTGGCTGTTTTTATGTTATCCAGAGCGTTGGTGACTGCAACTGTGCTGCTGGCAACAATTTAATTACGCTTTGCCAACGTTTACTGACACCGGCCATATTCAACGGGTGTTGAGCGTTCGTAAATTTGTCAGTTATTCTGTGCTCTGGCACACTCAAATGAGAGTGCTCTGAAATCGGAGTAGATAGCCAGAGCGAATTTACCAGCTATGTCTATCAACAGTTGTAGCATTGACATCATGAACATTCTATTGAAATGGTTACTTGCATACAGTCTTTTGTTAAGACATGTAGCTAGCTAGCTAGCTAGCTAAACAATGAACCATAATCCCAACTCATGACGTTACTACCCTGCATGAATCTGCAGGTAGCTAACCAACCAGGTTCAATGTTAGCTAGCTAACATTAGGCTATAACTAGCAAAGCAAATGGCTCTGAGATACGAATAATATTACTACACAGATCATACACGTAACGTTAGCTAGCGAGCCAGCCAGCTAACGTTAGCTAGCTAGCTAACAGAACACTTTAACTTGAAATGAAAATGACTTTCTGACAAAATTAGAAACGTGTAATATCTGAATATGTAGCTAGCTAGACTATTTTAGCCGTATACATGGATGGACACTTCTCCCTCTCTGTTAATGATGCCATGTTTGAAGATGTAATCCGGAGACAGGTGTTTTCTCCATCTCCTTAGCTATCATACTCTAATTCTACTGATTTCAAAATTCGATCTCTCGGCATGTCCAGCCCACTCATTATCTCAGCCAATCATGGCTAGCGGAAAGGTTGCTGTCTTTTTCTGTGGCTAAACCAACTAGGCTCGTAATTTAACAATTTTATTCGTATTTACAGATGGCATACAAGTTTGTAATTAAGGCACATGAAAGTTAACATGTTCCAGAAGGCATTTCTGCCAAAAAACACATTTTGACTTTTAAAAAAAAAGTTTACGGTCAAATGGCTCTCTTGTGAAGTAGTGACGCGCGACATATGCCTAGTTTCCTGAAACGAGTCACATTTGTGTGTGGAAAAATGGAGGGAAATGTCCCGACTTGATTATAGCCCTAGCTCACAGGCACATCGTCACACACATCTTCATTCCCTATTATATACATTTCTAAAGGGAAATTCATGAATAGCCTAATTGTGGAGGATAAATGAGATTCAAAACCTATAGTAGCCTATAGTAGTCTTTCAGACCAAAAGTGGACCAAAGTGTTGCAAATACAGACAGACAGACAGGCAGGCAGGTCTGTAGTCTGGCCAGTGCTGATGGCTGTGTATTGATAGGATACATATTCATCTTTCATCTGTCTTTTTAAGATTCCCTCAGTCTGGTTTTGATCTTTCCCTGGCTGTTCTCCTCTCGGCATTATCAATAGATTCTCAGAAGTGGAGCTGCTACTCTGTAAAGCAACAGTTTATACTTCAGTCGGGCAGCAGCGTTTATTTAATGTGATCTGACTGCTTTATTACAGCTGTTAATGAGATGATTATTCAGAGGTGTTCCGTAAAATACACACAAACACCCTCTAGAACTTCACTGCCAGCCCCACACACACTGTGTCACGCGACGTGTATGCGGTCAGCGAAGTCAAACGCAGGACACAGAGCGGCTGGCAACGTACTTTACTGAACACAGTAATTTACGTACAAAAACAACAAACCTCCAAACAGGGAGGAAAACACAATACCCGTACACAAAGCAACTGCCGGAATGACAAAGAACAATCACACACAATAACCAATGAGAGACAGGGGGTAATATAGGGAATACAATACAACATAATGGGAAACAGGTGTAAACAATAAAGACCAAACAAGACAAACACCGAAACATCGATCGGCAGTAGCTAGTACTCCGGGGACGACGAACACCGAAGCCTGCCTGAGCAAGGAGGAGGAGCAGCCTCGGCTGAATCCGTGACACACAGGGGCTGTTTTGGTAAACACTGTTGATTTAGCTCAATTTGACTTGGTAATTCAGTTTATACAGTCTTGGTCGTAAGAGACAGCTAAGTGCTTTATGATGTGTGTGGTTGTGGTAGGACTTTACATTACAGCACGGAATAAAGTGGTGATAATAGGGTAATAATAAGATAAGTTATAGCTTGTTAATTTACATATATTTGACCTGGTCATTCAGCTATTACAGCTGAAAATGGATGGGTTGTAGGCCTATCCTGCATTCAAATGAGCAAATCGCCCTCAAGTGGCCTCATGGGTGGAATGTTATTCATATTTTTCATATTTTCATAATTAATAAACATGATTTTTCTTAACGCAGAAAATCATTTTTTCTATGTCAAACGGTTTTGTTTTATTTCAGTCTTCTGTGATGTACAGTGGGGAAAAAAAGTATTTAGTCGGCCACCAATTGTGCAAGTTCTCCCACTTAAAAAGATGAGAGAGGCCTGTAATTTTCATCATAGGTACACGTCAACTATGACAGACAAAATGAGAAAAAAAAATCCAGAACATCACATTGTAGGATTTTTAATGAATTTATTTGCAAATTATGGTGGAAAATAAGTATTTGGTCACCTACAAACAAGCAAGATTTCTGGCTCTCACAGACCTGTAACTTCTTCTTTAAGAGGCTCCTCTGTCCTCCACTCGTTACCTGTATTAATGGCACCTGTTTGAACTTGTTATCAGTATAAAAGACACCTGTCCACAACCTCAAACAGTCACACTCCAAACTCCACTATGGCCAAGACCAAAGAGCTGTCAAAGGACACCAGAAACAAAATTGTAGACCTGCACCAGGCTGGGAAGACTGAATCTGCAATAGGTAAGCAGCTTGGTTTGAAGAAATCAACTGTGGGAGCAATTATTAGGAAATGGAAGACATACAAGACCACTGATAATCTCCCTCGATCTGGGGCTCCACGCAAGATCTCACCCCGTGGGGTCAAAATGATCACAAGAACGGTGAGCAAAAATCCCAGAACCAGTGAATGACCTGCAGAGAGCTGGGACCAAAGTAACAAAGCCTACCATCAGTAACACACTACGCCGCCAGGGACTCAAATCCTGCAGTGCCAGACGTGTCCTCCTGCTTAAGCCAGTACATGTCCAGGCCCGTCTGAAGTTTGCTAGAATACATTTGGATGATCCAGAAGAGGATTGGGAGAATGTCATATGGTCAGATGAAACCAAAATAGAACTTTTTGGTAAAAACTCAACTCGTCGTGTTTGGAGGACATAGAATGCTGAGTTGCATCCAAAGAACACCATATCTACTGTGAAGCATGGGGGTGGAAACATCATGCTTTGGGGCTGTTTTTCTGCAAAGGGACCAGGACGACTGATCCGTGTAAAGGAAAGAATGAATGGGGCCATGTATCGTGAGATTTTGAGTGAAAATCTCCTTCCATCAGCAAGGGCATTGAAGATGAAACGTGGCTGGGTCTTTCAGCATGACAATGATCCCAAACACGCCGCCCGGGCAACGAAGGAGTTGCTTCGTAAGAAGCATTTCAAGGTCCTGGAGTGGCCTAGCCAGCCTCCAGATCTCAACCCCATAGAAAATCTTTGGAGGGAGTTGAAAGTCCGTGTTGCCCAGCAACAGCCCCAAAACATCACTGCTCTAGAGGAGATCTGCATGGAGGAATGGGCCAAAATACCAGCAACAGTGTGTGAAAACCTTGTGAAGACTTACAGAAAACGTTTGACCTGTGTCATTGCCAACAAAGGGTATATAAACAAGTATTGAGAAACTTTTGTTATTGACCAAATACTTATTTTCCACCATAATTTGCAAATAAATTCATTAAAAATCCTACAATGTGATTTTCTGGATTTTCTTTCCTCATTTTGTCTGTCATAGTTGACGTGTACCTATGATGAAAATTACAGGCCTCTCTCATCTTTTTAAGTGGGAGAACTTGCACAATTGGTGGCTGACTAAATACTTTTTTCCCCCACTGTATATAAAGGGTAATATTGGGATGCAAACTCGTAATGGAATACATTTCAACTCTATATCTGACATGATACAGGTGTCTTCTTTTTTTAAGCCCATAACCATGTATGTGAGGTTTATACTTTGTTTAAGACTGCCAAGAAACACTCTGTGTGACCCTGATTTAGTCCACTGCAGTAAAAGGTTAACAAACCATCTAAAATTGCAGTACATACAAGTTCTCAGACTGTATTTAGGATGTAGGTAAATCGCCATCTTATCCACTGTCTTACTCCAGTAATTTGGGTTGCAAGTCAGTGTGGTATACATGGAGGTCCAGGAGGAGATAATAAATGGCAATTTCAGCCGGGCCGGGGCGTAATGTGTACTCTACTCTCTGTGTGAGAGAGATGCACTGTCTTGTTAATTGTTGTTTGCTTTCCTACACCTGCGTCCCCCTGCTCTGTACAGGTTGAGCAAGCCTGGATGTGAGAGACAGGGTCAGGTGACCATGAAGGAGGGCTGAAGGTTACAGAGGAACTGGAAGGAGAGGAGGAGATAGAGAGAGAGAGGAGAAAGAGAGAAGAGGAGTGGAGATGAGAGAGACAGAGAGAAGAAGAAAAAAGGAGGAGTGTGAATTTGCTGGAGAGAGCAGTGGAGAGCTGGAAGAGAGCCAAACAGAGAGAGTGAGAGAATGCCCCTGACCTCCCTAGTGGCCTCTCTCTCTCTCTCCCTCTCTTCCTCTCTCTCTCTGCAAATAACTGCCTGCATGTTATTGTCTGAGTGCTTTCCATCTCTCTCTCCACTCTTCCTCACTGTTTTCCTTGACAAAATTTTTTTTCTCTCTACAGTATCTCTCTGCTCTCCTCCATTGGGCTCTGGAAGCGCCTGCATGTGTCCATCATGGCTTCGTTGTCTTAAGAAATCAGCCGCCCAGAAACGGGGGCTACATTTTTCATGAGTGTGTTAAAAGGAATATTGAGACAAAAGCACTTATGAGGCAGCCTTTCTCCCTTTTTCACCTTTCAAACACACTCAGAACTCAGCTTTGATGGCTCTTTGTTCGCATTAAAAGGCTGGCTTTATTCTCCAAATAATAGCTACAACCTTTTGGGACCTGTATATATTGACTGCCCTGACTGTGGTCCTGCTAAGAGGGGTCCACCCACTGTCCATCCATTCCCTCTGTAATGGCTGATGATGGAGCTGGTTGTACTTATATTTATGTGCGCTTAGCTTCTGGCTAACTCTTAGCATGTATTCATGCTATGATGAGCCACCTGCAGCTGCTTAGTTGGGCTGTGAGCTATTGATCTGTGTGTTAACGATAGGGGTAAATACAGTGAGGACACACACACATACACACACACTTCAGGACTGATGCAGAGGCAGAGAATGGGTGTGCCGCCGGCCGCTCTGGTCCATGGCTGTGTTGTGGAACATGCAGTTACTACACTACGCTATTCAGGCCACTCATCAATCAGCCATGTGAAACTTGTGTGTGTCTGTCTGTGTGTGTGCTCCCAAAAGGCCAGTCTATGGAACTGTTAATGTTGGGGTCTCAAGATGAACTGTTAGTCGATCAATATGGTGCAGTGTTAGACGTCCATAAGGATGGAGCACTCTTGCACTTCCCTTCCCCATTCCCTGCTTATGGAAGTCTCAATACAGTTCATGATCATATGATTCCAATAAGAAACTAAAAGGACCCTGACTGATGACAACACCTGCAATTCAATTTTGAGCTCCCTCATGTCTGTAACTTTGAGGTACAAACAGTTCTGTGTATATGCAGGTAATCCTGTGAATTTGGGTATGTGTGAATGTGAAGTGAGATCTGGTCCCAGGGATTCACACAGTAAACAAAACTGAAATTCATCTGCTTGCTCTGTCCTCATATTTAGCCTCACATTGAAGTGTTTTACCATTTTCTTTCCATGACAACCAGGGCTACAAGTAGAACACAAAGTAGAACACAAAAACAATTTGACATAAACACTTCCATTCAAGAGTTTTATTGACAAATGTCAATAACAAAAATAAGGTCCACCAAGCAAAAAACTGATTACAAAAAATGCATTTATAAGAATGCTGTAAGTACTGAAATAATTTGCTCAGTGGGAAATTAATATCCAACTAGTCAGTGACAACTGTGTGGAGTTTAGAGATTGTGACAGCAATCCAATGCAACAACAGAGAAGTCTGTAGCTCAAAAACACAATGTTTAAAATGGGTTGGAAGCACTAAATCATGCCAGTATGTTTGTGGGACTCAGAGATATCTGCACAACAAACATGCATGTGCAAGTGTTTGTAGGCTATATGTTATACCTGATTAGGTGGAAGCGGTTGGTGGAGGTTGGAGCCCTTGTTAGGAATTTATGAAGTGATCAATTGTTTGTTCCCAGGGGAGGGGGTTTGGCAGCCGTCACAGGCAGGCAGGCTGGGTAGAGACAGGGCAAGGAGTGAGGCAGGCTGGGTAGTGACATGCCATGGAGTGTAGGATCACACACCAACAGGTAGGCTGGCTACCAGTAGCAGCTTTAGGCCACAAGTCAAAGGCAGGTTGTAGGAAGTCTGGAAAATGACTGTGTACCTAATTAAGTCACTACAAACTGTGATGAGATGACAAACATACAACAGCCATTCCAATCTATTTGCGTTTAAGAAAAAAATAAGAGTTTGGTATTGTTCTCAACAGTTTCTTTCATTTACAATAATAATCCATCTAACAAAACAACGGCCATATAAGAAGCAGATTGTTGATGTACTCATCCCAATGTTGACAAAAAGTCAGACACACTAGTCTACATGGAGTGCTTGCCTAGTATCTCTGATTTCCCAGAAGCCTCGGTGCCTGCCTATGCACACTACACTCTTAGAAAAAAGGGTTCCAAAAGGGTTCTTCGGCTGTCCCCATAAAAGGGTTCTTCAAAGGGTTATTCTATGGGGGCAGCCGAAGAACCCTTTAAGGTTCTAGATAACACCTTTTTGTTCTGTGTGAAGCTCATAAAATATTGGTGCAGTATTGGGTTGTAGGGGTGTGGTGTGGTATGGTATGGTGGAGTAGCAGCATCCACCCACACACACAGCACATTTCTTAGGGAGGTTGGTGGCTCAGCCCTCCATGAGCAGCCCTCCAGCCGCAGTTTCCCATGATGCACTGTGTTTGTAATCAGGTCTGGTGCTATGCTGGCCCTCCAAGTTCCTCTCCCTAGACTCCTTTGCAATGCCTCTTAATACTGAACAACTCTCCTTTCTCCAATCCTCACTGCAGTTAAAAATAGCACTTTGGCCATGCAGTCAGAGCACAAACCATTACAGCACCACAGACCCAAAGTGTAGTACAACATAAGAAACCTTAAAGAAAAATACATAGTGGAGCTCTGTCTATTCCAATACAAAACATTTGATTTAAAAGCTCTGCTTACTAGGCTTTCAGAGGTTTTAGTTTAGAAATATTGTAAAATGGCCTCCATTGTTAAGATGGAGACTGGTTCTTCTGGATCCTTCAAGCCATTCATTGGTTGTTCTTTGTTTGTTTCAGTTTTTTTTCTAACACTCAGAATGTTACATTGTAAAACAACCCCCATAAAAATACCCTCCAAATATGGATGAAAAATCTTCCCCCAAAACATAAAAGGGCTCAATATTTTTTTTGTTGTTGAAAAAATAGGGTTTTTCTTCACATTGATTAGGATCAGGGCTATAGTGGTAAAAATCAAAGGTGGCTAAAGGCTGAACATTGGTTGAGAAGAAAACCTAAACACTATCAATGACTAACATTCCCCCCTCTCCTCTGTTTGCCTTGCAGTTTTCAGTGAAGATTTACGTTCCAGCTTATATTTTGTCAATGCATCTGTGCAAGAGGTAGTGTTTGCCAGCACCACAGGGACCTCGGTGCCCTGTCCCGCCGCGGGCGTGCCCCCCGCCTCGCTGCGCTGGTACCTGGCCACCGGAGAGGAGATCTACGATGTCCCCGGGATCCGCCACGTGCACCCAAATGGCACCCTTCAGATCTTCCACTTCAACCCCTCTAGCTTCAGCAACCTCATCCATGACAACACCTACTATTGCACAGCGGAGAACCCCTCAGGGAAAATCAGGAGCCAAGATGTCCATATTAAGGCTGGTGAGTTGTCTATCTAGTTGGTTTATGCCTATACTTTACAGTAGGGTTGTTTATTTACAGTATAGGGGCAATGCCAGGGCTGGGGTTGATTCCATTTCAGTTCAGTCAGTTTAAGAGGTGAACTGAAGAAACTGAATTAACCCTAGACCATAATGATACAATATAATACTGTTCTATTTAATATTGTGCCCTGGACAATAAAGTGGTTAGTGGTCAGTGTGGTTCTGGAAATGGACTGTTGATTACAGAGGTGGGAGTTAGGGCTGCAGACAGTATGGCTGTGGAGAAGTTGACCAGAAGCTTGTTGGTCACTAAGTGGGGCTATATTGCTTGGGTTACTAGTGACCACAAGCGAAGCCTTTCAGCTGGAAATGTACAATGTGAACCACAGACATCACATTGGGTTGAGAGTGTGAGCAAAGTAGTGAATAAAGCAAAGGGACAAAATATATAGACTTACCAAATGTTTTGCCAAAACAGGAAAATAAAAGTCAATTCATTCATCAGTGTCATTTCTTGTGTAATTTCTTATGTTTCTCAACAAGAACATTTGTCCGTTTCCCCCCATCTCTTTCAGTTCTACGAGAGCCCTACACGGTCCGCGTGGAGGACCAGAAAGCCATGAGAGGCAATGTGGCGGTGTTCAAGTGCATTATCCCAGCCTCGGTGGAGGCCTACATCACTGTTGTGTCCTGGGAGAAAGACACAGTGTCAATCAACGTCCAGAGTAAGTCTCTGCTCTCTAATCGCTACTGTAATGTATATAGAGAAACGTACTGTATGTAATTTTTTCTCTTACAGAAACAGTCTGGTAAGTGAGTATCACACTGCAAGAAAAGAAGGCCATAGGTTTTAGATAGTGTTTTGACCCCAGGGATGTGTGCATGTGCTATGCCCTGTCTGTCTGCAAGGCCTTTTGAGGTCAGCCTAGACTAGTAGACTAGCGCCCATGTCCCTTGTCCCTGTTCCAACCATGCAACCAGCCCGTTGCATTGTCTTGTGTCCACATCTGTCTGATCTCATGACAGACTGGCCCTATTTCACTGCTGACCTGGGCTGGATGACAGTCTTCCACGAGAGCAAGGAGGAGGCCATGGAAGCCCTGTGGTGTCACTTAGCCTCAGTGCTATTGACCTAGTTCTCTGCTGATGGGGGCCATTGCACAGCACTCGTTGCATGGTCTGATCATTCAAATCGCTTAAATGGGATGCTCGTCTACTCGATTGTTTCCTAGACCCCAGGGGCAAATTCACTTTATGTGGGGCATTTAACAAACTCAATAGACAAAGCTAATGTCGTTTTGACTTTTGGACGGAAGGCAAATGCAGCGGTTTCTTTTTTGTTGATGTTTCACAATTTGTCCACTGAGTCGAAAGCAACCATGTTGAAATCTATATCAATCTCTTAATTGTCCATAAATGGATTTGCCGCGAGGATGTTTTGGAGCTGAGGGGATATGTGGTTATGGAATACATACGTTTCATAATGTCAAGTATTTTTTTTTTTCTAGACTTAATACTTGACTGTATGCTAAGACTTGTCATATGTGTATAGTATGTATAAGCTGGAAGTAGAGGCCTAAGCATTGTTGTTCACTAGTTTACTCCAATTAGGGAAGGGGTGGTGGGGTTGGAAAGTAATAAAGGGAAATATTTTTTTTTAAAGGATATGTATATGTGTATGTATGTGTATGTGTATGTATATGTATATATGTATGTATACAGTGGGGAAAAAAAGTATTTAGTCAGTCACCAATTGTGCAAGTTCTCCCACTTAAAAAGATGAGAGAGGCCTGTAATTTTCATCATAGGTACACGTCAACTATGACAGACAATCAAGAAAATCACATTGTAGGATTTTTTATGAATTTATTTGCAAATTATGGTGGAAAATAAGTATTTGGTCAATAACAAAAGTTTCTCAATACTTTGTTATATACCCTTTGTTGGCAATGACACAGGTCAAACGATTTCTGTAAGTCTTCACAAGGTTTTCACACACTGTTGCTGGTATTTTGGCCCATTCCTCCATGCAGATCTCCTCTAGAGCAGTGATGTTTTGGGGATGTCGCTGGGCAACAAGGACTTTCAACTCCCTCCAAAGATTTTCTATGGGGTTGAGATCTGGAGACTGGCTAGGCCACTCCAGGACCTTGAAATGCTTCTTACGAAGCCACTCCTTCGTTGCCCGGGCGGTGTGTTTGGGATCATTGTCATGCTGAAAGACCCAGCCACTTTTCATCTTCAATGCCCTTGCTGATGGAAGGAGGTTTTCACTCAAAATCTCACGATACATGGCCCCATTCATTCTTTCCTTTACACGGATCAGTCGTCCTGGTCCCTTTGCAGAAAAACAGCCCCAAAGCATGATGTTTCCACCCCCATGTTTCACAGTAGGTATGGTGTTCTTTGGATGCAACTCAGCATTCTTTGTCCTCCAAACACGACGAGTTGAGTTTTTACCAAAAAGTTCTATTTTGGTTTCATCTGACCATATGACATTCTCCCAATCCTCTTCTGGATCATCCAAATGCACTCTAGCAAACTTCAGACGGGCCTGGACATGTACTGGCTTAAGCAGGGGGACACGTCTGGCACTGCAGGATTTGAGTCCCTGGCGGCGTAGTGTGTTACTGATGGTAGGCTTTGTTACTTTGGTCCCAGCTCTCTGCAGGTCATTCACTAGGTCCCCCTGTGTGGTTCTGGGATTTTTGCTCACCGTTCTTGTGATCATTTTGACCCCACAGGGTGAGATCTTGCGTGGAGCCCCAGATCGAGGGAGATTATCAGTGGTCTTGTTTGTCTTCCATTTCCTAATAATTGCTCCCACAGTTGATTTCTTCAAACCAAGCTGCTTACCTATTGCAGATTCAGTCTTCCCAGCCTGGTGCAGGTCTACAATTTTGTTTCTGGTGTCCTTTGACAGCTCTTTGGTCTTGGCCATAGTGGAGTTTGGAGTGTGACTGTTTGAGGTTGTGGACAGGTGTCTTTTATACTGATAACAAGTTCAAACAGGTGCCATTAATACAGGTAACGAGTGGAGGACAGAGGAGCCTCTTAAAGAAGAAGTTACAGGTCTGTGAGAGCCAGAAATCTTGCTTGTTTGTAGGTGACCAAATACTTATTTTCCACCATAATTTGCAAATAAATTCATAAAAAATCCTACAATGTGATTTTCTGGATTTTTTTTCTCTCAATTTGTCTGTCATAGTTGACGTGTACCTATGATGAAAATGACAGGCCTCTCTCATCTTTTTAAGTGGGAGAACTTGCACAATTGGTGGCTGACTAAATGCTTTTTTTCCCCACTGTATGTATATATGTATGTATGTATGTATGTATATATATATATATATATATATATATATATATATATGTATGTATGTATATTTGCGAGAAAAAAACAACATATGGGGGATTGGAAGTGATGCAGACAATTACATTGATGGAAGTTACAATCTATCTGCAATATTAAAGCTGATCTACCCCCTAAAAAAAAAAGAAGAAAAAAGACTTGTCATATGATCCATTGGATTTATGTACTGTAAGCATGCAATGCAATCTAAATGGGTATTTTTCCTGGCTGTCCTGTGTCAACTTCACTATCAAAACAAAGTGTTTACTTTGTGCTGTTAAAATCAAAATGTACACGCTGTCAAAAAGATGTAGCCGCCACCAATCCAGTGCTCTTCTCTATGCTAAATAATAGATGACGGAAGTCTATGAATCCATGAGCAAATAGTCTTTATTCACGTCTCAACGCACTCAACCACTGTCCATTCTCCCCATTCTTCATGGGTCATGCATATCAAGTGCAACTTAAAGAGTCTGCGTGTGTGAAAGAATGTGTGTGCGTGTCCGTGTGTGCGTGCGTGTGTGGTATCCATGATGACCAAGCCCTACTCTTGTTTTCTAGGGGCTGCCAAAGCCCACCTTTTAAATGTTTAATGAGTTAAAAAAAGAGAAGAGAATATCAACAATTAGACTAGAAAAACTTCACAAAATAAAGCTTTTCTGTCTCTGGTAGTATGAATTATGGATGGTAGCATTGCTGTTGGAGAGGTGTACCATGAAGCAGGCAGCAGGCCCCCTCTAACCATCCCTCTGTAAGTCTCACTGGTGTTAAGCCCACTGTAGGCTGGGTTGCTGTGCAGAACCTAACAACGCACCGCTCAAAGAGCTCCAGTGTCTGCATGCGTGGAATGACGGGCTAATATTACCGTGAAAAATACACACAATCAAGAAGACAGTCGATAGAAGTTGCAGTGCAGTAAAGTGCATTGTCTATGTCAGTGGTCATAGGTAAACTCTGGTAATGGTTAGCTACTAGGCGTGCAGGTTTTTGTTGCAGCCCAGCACTGTCTTACAGTACACAACAGTACTGCTCTTCAGGACCTTGACTAGTTAAACCAGATGGTTAGGGCTGGAACAACAACCTGCACACCATATTGCTCTCCAGGCTCAGTGTTGGTGACAACTGGTGAACGTAATTGATGTATCATTACACTGAACATTTTGCATTACATGGTTCAAAACAATATGGTAACATATTTTTAGATGTAAAGAAAAACTGGTAAAGTGATGATCGAGTGGCAGGAATTAAAGCAATGATTTGAAGGAAGAAATTATGCCCATATCCCATTAATTTGTGTCTATAGCTACATGCTCCCCTCCTCTGATAAGCAGCAGATTGTCACTAAGATATGGGGGAAGATATGGCTGGGGATGAAGCACTGACACCCACACATTTATCTTGTCTCTGCTCTGCCGCGTGGCTAGCTGCTACAGTGGAATGCAGGATGAATCCAGTGGTGTATTGTTCTGCGTTCAAAGCTCTGAAATGTTTTCCTTCCAATGGTGAAGGGTTCTAAGTACCTTGCATCTGCAACTGTCTTATGGATTGTGTTCTTTTGGGAACCATTTAATGAATCCTCTTCATGGGTTCAGTCTGCTTCCCTTCACTGTTTGTGAATAAGACTTAAGACAAGGGATATTATGAAATATGCCCAATAGTACCAAGCTTTTCCTATATCTACTATGCTGAGGATGACACTAATGTTTGGATTTAACCAAAACCTCAAAAGAGCTTCTCATGTTGAAAGAAAGCATGCTTGTTGCATTGATAGCCTCTGACAAAATCAAAAAACTATTTTTGTTGCATGCAGTTATAAACATTATATTGATGAAACAAACCCAAATACTTATTCTCCATCAATAGCAAAAATAGTGTTCATATTAGGTTTGTTTGTGTCATGTTGGAGTTGAGTTGCTGATTCTGTTTCTGTTGACTCACAGAGAGAGAGAGACACAGCCCAAGCAGTGTTCTCCATTCCCCTGGTGCAGACTGAGGGCTTGGCTGTGCTGTGCTGCAGTCACTGAGGAGGGCCTGATCTGGCCTGCTCTGCATTCACCATGAGTGGGGCCGGCCCCCAGCACTGCAGAGAGGCACACATGCACACGTTCGACACACTCCTTCTCATTCCACACACGAGCCACACACCAGGGCTATCGGCCATCAAATCACATTGCCCTTTTATGGTTGAACAAACCCACCAACAGAGAGGAGAGAAGAGAGAGAGAGAAGGGAGAGAGAGAGATCGAGAGGCGAGATGATCTAGATCGCTCTCATATCCGAGGTCTCGTAGGCGAGCTCGCTCTTTCGTCTCTAGATAGCGCTCTAGATCTATCACTCTCTTTCTCTCATTCTCTCACTGTGTCTTTACCTCTCCCTCACACACACACACAGATACACACACACGCCACGGTCACTCCCTGTCCTTGTATTTAGGAGCAAAATGATAAGGTACAGTGAGAGAAAAACCTATTTGATCCCTTGCTGATTTTGTACGTTTGCCCACTGACAAAGAAGTGATCAGTCTATAATTTTAATGGTAGGTTTATTTGAACAGTGAGAGACAGAATAACAACAAAAAAATCCAGAAAAACGCATGTCAAAAATGTTAGAAATTGATTTACATTTTAATGAGGGAAATAAGTATTTGACCCCTCTGCAAAACATGACTTAGTACTTGGTGGCAAAACCCTTGTTGGCAATCACAGAGGTCAGACGTTTCTTGTAGTTGGCCACCAGGTTTGCACACATCTC